GGGCCTGCGCTGAACACTTGGTGTTGACGACATTCCCATCTTCCCCTCTTCTTCGTCTAACCCCCATCTCCTTCGTCTGTGTATGGTTGGGGCTGGCGCAGTCTTCCTGTGTGAAGCGCCAGACCCCTTCACACCATGGAATGATGATGATGATGATGTATGTTTGGGGCTGCATTGCAATATTGATTGTTCGGATCATTGGTATCTAAGTCTTCCGCTGTGCTATCTTATACTTTGTATTGAAAGGTCGGTTCTTGTTCTGGTCTGCACCTATACGGTATGCAACAGAAAGTGAACGTGAGGGGGAGGTTGGCAAGAGGGGAGAGAAGAGGAGTGGGAGGACAGGGGAGAGGAGAAGAGCGAGGGGAGGAAGAGGGAGGGGAGGAAGGTGGAAAGAACCGTAGGAAGGGGAGAGGATGGAAGGAACAAGCGCACAGAGGAAGTGGAAAGAGGGCAAGGAAGAAGAAACAATGAACGGATAAATGGCGGCAAGGATTCCCAGGTGCACGGATTACATGGGTTGCAACTTAAACCCGTCATCCCGGTGGTCAGTGTAGGGACTCTTGCTCTTGGCGAGAGCCAATCAAACGGGCGCGGATGGTTGGGGCCTGTGTCAGGGGGCGGAGAGTAGTACAGAATATAACAACAATATGCGAATGCAGAGAAATACTAACGAAGCTGAAGTTATAACACCTGCGGGCCCATAGCCCTTGACCCTTTTCACACAAACCTGCTGAATTGTTGACTGCAATATGTTCTGTATCTGACCTTAATCAAGCGTCTAAGATCGACAAAAACAAAAAAAATGTAATCAAGTGTGTAAGATCGACAAAAACAAAATGTAATTGACTATCGACAAAAACAAAAAAAATCAAAAAAAATAATTGTGACTATGGCAGCAGTATTATGCCTCCACCCCTCAATGGATTTGAGCATTTGTTTCAAAATAAAAACTCGAAGAAAGAAGAAAAAAAAAGTGTGACACTGTAAGGCTGAAGCCTGATGTCATCACAGGTGGGTCTCTTCAAGTGTCAGAATGGACAGCAAGAGTCCCTCGGGACATCCGTTAAAATTGGACCGACACAGAGAAGAGAAGATTAGCATGGCCCCCGCACACTCAAGGATGATGACATGCATAAATTCAGAAATTGTCCCAAAAAAAAAAAAAAAGAAAGGACAGAAAGACATGAATGAGAGCATGTTGTCAGCCACGGCAGGTAGGAAGGAACTCCATAGGAGTATCAAGTACTATCAACCATTCTTTGTCGTTCTTGTGGACTCTTCATGGCTGTGCCGGACCCACAAGTTATCGACCGTTCTTTGTCGTTCTTGTTGATTCTCGTATGAGCTTAAAAGATTATCGAGTAATATTGACTATTTCTTTTGTATGAGAAAGACTGGTGAGTAACTTCGTAAGTTCGTACGAGAATTGAAGTTATTAAACAGAAAAAACAAAAACCTCACATTGAAGCATCAAACACGTAGTTGCGCTTTTCCTACCCGAACACCGGGACCAATCCGGACGTCCGGGGCGGACGCATGTCTGGACTGCTCCTAACGGGTCCGGAATATCCCTCACCCCACCCCCCGCCCCCCAGAAAAAGAGGGAAAAAATCCTGTGGATTCGACAACGAATTTCGAGATGATCCTCAGCCAAAAGATTTGCGTATTGCACTGCTGTATAACTTATCGGTTTTTCAGATTCATCATTCATTTGATTTATTTTTTTAAGTCGGATTTTTTCTTCTTTTTCGTTTTTTTTTGGGGGGGGGCGGGTGGATCCGGATGTCTGGACCGCACACCAGACTTGGACATCAAGACCTGGACCATCTGCACTGTGATCTGGACGTTCCGGATCGTAACCATGATTAAACATGTCAGACAAAGTTGATGGTGCAAAATTGCAAATTCGATAAAACAGGCGCTGGCTTCCAGCGCGACCACATAACAAGCACTGGCTCCCAGTGCCACCACATAACAAGCACTGGCTCCCAGTGCCACCTCATAAAAAGCACTGGCACCCAAAGCAACAAACACAGACCTCAGACCTGAAGAAAATTCAAGAAAATCATCTGAAAATGAAAGTTGAAACAGATGTGGTGGTTACGAAGGCAGCCCCTTGTGAATCAAGAAACTTGAAGAGACAGCGACAACATTGTTCTTTTTTTTTTTCTTTTTTTTTTCAATTGTTGAGAAAATGAGCATGAGTTCAAGTCCTGGCACAATACAATAACATAAGTACAATAACATTAGGGGGAAAGTAGTGCCTCCTGTATCTCACATCATGTGCAAACTATATTTTTGAGCAGGCAAGGCAAGCGCGGCCATGTGTGGTGTTTTTTGATGAATTGGACGCACTTGCGCCAGCACGTGGGGCAAGTGGAGATTCCGGCGGTGTCATGGATCGTGTTGTATCACAAGTAAGTGTCGTTCTGCGTGTTTAATTAAACCTCTTCTGCTCAAGCTGGTCTTCGCAGTTGCCCCCAGTGTGGCTCTGAACTCTTCTTAACCTTCTTCTCAAACCTGTTGTGGCGAAAATGATAAAATCCAACCAAACCTTTCCCTTCCTCTTTTGTGGTCACATCACTCATATTAAAGTGCGCTCTTTTAGTTCATACTACTTGATAGATATGTGACAATATATAGTATATAGTATATAGTATATAGTATATACTATATACTATATAGTATATATAGTATATACTATATAGTATATAGTATATACTATATAGTATATACCTACTAATAGCTACTATACCACTTATCTTCTCTGTTTACACACTGCAATCTTGACCCTTGTCTGCAATAAGTGTTTGCTGAACCTGTTTTTTTTTTTTTTTTTTTCCTTTTCCCTTCTCGTTATCGTTACTGCCCTGCCTCTTCAAGTAAGTGGCCTTCATCATCCCTAGGACTCCCTCCTATTAGGATTGATTGTGAGGTAGTGTAGTCGAGTACCTTACAAAGTAAAGCCCTGTACTTGACAATGTACTGTACTTTTGATTTATTATATTATCTAAAGGTTGGTAGAGATGTGAAGTAGGTATGTAGTATGTACTGTACGCACTGACTATGAAAAGGATGGTTCGAACCTTTTTACTCTCTAAAGGAAGGTTTGCACTAGGTATGTAGTATGTACCTTACCCACTGACTATGAAAAGGAAAGTATGTACTATGTAGTATGTACTATATACCTTTCTATCAAAAGGTTGGTAGCATACTTCCGGCGCATATGTGAGGTGCGCTGCGCAGTGAGTTGTGCTGATTGCAGATGCACAAAAAAAAAAAAAAAAGCAACCGTGATGTGTGTATACACGCTGGAGAGAGAGAGAGAGAGAGAGAGAGAGAGAGAGAGAGAGAGAGAGAGAGCAAAGAGCCCTTTCACATTATTCAGACAACCCCTGCCGGGTATTCAAAAGGTCCCTGCCAAAAATTGGCAAGGATCCCGTCGGCAGGAGAAGGGTAGTCACTGGACTTGGAGCAGGCCAGCTATATATGGTGTAGCTTCGAATTCAGGTCCGTGTTTCAGCAGTTATGGGTTACTGACTTACTATCAAAAAGGAAAAACAAAAAAACGAGACATCTACTGTAGTGTTTGTAGTAAGTTCGTAACCCATAACTCTTGGAACACTGACCCCTGAATCCGAATCCGGAATATATTGCCGGCCTGCTCCTGTTCCTCCAGCAGTTTGACGAACGTCCTTCCATATGCATGGGATCCCTGCTAATTCCTTGCAGGGGATCCTTTGGAAAAGAGGCTAGATCCAGTGAGGAGTACGATGTGGCCCCAAATTATATTGTTTCTGCGCACTTACAATCCCTTTAAAAGGGAGGCACACATTTGGTTACCATGGCCTGCCCTTCTGAATTTTTTCTTTTTTTAATTCGTAATTGCGCCGCATCACGTGCGCCACATTTATGGTTGGTAATAAAAAGGTTTGAACCCCTGACCATGAAAAGGAAAGTATGTAGTATGTAGTATGTACTATGTACCTCACTATCAAAAGGTTGGTAGTAAAAAGGTTTGACGGAACTTTGACCCCCTGACCATGAAAAGGAAAGGATGTACCATGTACTATATACCTTACCTTACTGTACTAAGGGTTGTACCTTACTACCTGAAGGAAGCAAGTAGGGTTTGTAGGACTTTGTAATTTTCTTGATAATAGAATAAATTATAATTGTTCAAACCTTTCCTTTCATTGTCGTATGCCCCCTGCCTTGTTCCACAGTGGTTTGTCACATATGTGTGTGTGCGTGTGTGTGTGTGTGTGTGTGTGTGTGTGTGTGTGTGTGTGTGTGTGTGTTTATCACAGCAAGAACACTGTAAGCATGCAATGACTTGCTGTTTCTGGTCCCCTGTAGGCTCTCTCTGTCGAGGCTGTACCGTAGGTAGGACAGATTCGTAATTTTGTTTGGCTGAGGGTTAACCGAGAGACCTACCTGTAGGGAAAATTCGTGAGGGACATATCTGCAAATTTGGGAAAATATAGGCCCATCACTAACTGAATTTCCTACTGCTACCCTAACTGCGAATAGCAGGCCCGGGCTACCCCTAGGACAGACAGGCCCTAAAGGCCTATGCTGATAGACGGTCCTATAGCCTATAGCCGGGGAAGGTAGAGGCTGAGAGGCCGAAACAGAATCGGTACCGGTCGGTCAGTCAGTCCGGTCTAGGTTGAGTCTAGGCTAGTTTAGTCTATAGATAGGAGGGGCACATCAGTGCAGGGCTTTTGGCAGTTGGTACCGAGTACATCGCTGCTGCGCTACGCGTGAACCGGAAGTGGTGACAGCTCAGCGTGGAAGGAGACAGACATAGCCAGACCTTCGGAGCGCCAGCCATAGCTGGGGCCCGTGCTGTACTCTGCCAGCACGTGCGGCTGTCAGAGGTCTGGGTTATCGAGGTCTGCTAGAGGTGAGAGAAGTTGGTGCCCTGCTGGACCCTCCTGTGGAGTGAGGTTCCAGGGTTTGGCGCTGCAGCCATAGCTGCAGCTTCCTCCTCAGAGGTCATCTTGTCAGGATTTGGGTGGCGCTGCTGCAGACTTCCATCCGGGAAGTCCTCCGACACTTCATCATCATCAGATACTGTGGCGCTGGTCTTCTTCTTCATCCTCTGAGTGGCGCTTGGCCTCAGAGGCCTGTTTCAGGGTGGCGCTTCCCTTTGGAGGCTGTATCTGGGTGGCGCTTGAAGTTTGAGGGGCTCAGGGGTGTCACGAGTGGTTACTCAGGGTTGGGGAGTGAAGCGCTGCTCATCTCTGAGCAGCACACAGTAGTTCTGAAGTTATTCTGACAATTCGAGACTCTGAGTATAATAAACAGTGGGATACTGGGTTTGGACTATCATCGTTTCATTGTTTCCTGGATGTGATCTACTCGGCTTTTCTGTATAACTGGTTGTGAGGATTGAGTGGAGTGAATTGCACTTTCAGTGTACCCTGTCATATCGCATGGTCAAGTCTTCCGCTGTGTTTATTTCTCCCTGTGCGGTGTGATACTCCTATCCTCTCCCCTTCCTTCTGTGTATGTATGGGCATACCTGGAAGTCTATGTGAGTGAGTGTTGGTCTTCAGACAACAAACAACCAGAATCATAACAAGCATGTCGGGAACGTACAGTCAAAGAAATGCTTGTACCCCTTTTTTTAAAGTTTTTTTCGCTTGTGTTTTGTTTCAAACAGGCCCTTATGGTCCTGGCTCCATGTCCACTCTGGGGAGCATCAGTCCTTTTCGCTCCTTTTCCCCCGGCAAGTCATGTATTACATCATTGAGACCATCACACTTCCTTCCGTTTGGCCGAAGGACCCCTGACCGGAATTGATTGCTCCATTCTGTGGAGGATTGACGGTCAGCTTGCCTTCAGAAATCCTAGTATCCTTCGTTGTGCAAGGAACCTGACAGTTCACAACTTGCTGGAGTGTATCACACTGCATGCATAGACGTCATTCACATAGATAGAGAAGCTTCACACAAAGCCAANTGCAAGGAACCTGACAGTTCACAACTTGCTGGAGTGTATCACACTGCATGCATAGACGTCATTCACATAGATAGAGAAGCTTCACACAAAGCCAAGTCGAGATAAGATGAGAACCAAGGTAGCGCAGCCCTTATTATCACAACCACATGATACAAAGAGTATCTCGAGTCCAARWRYTCAGCGCCAACAGAATACAAGTCTCKCTCGTTCAATCATCAGCATRGGGCCTGGCTCARCCAGCRTCTGYCCTCAGATCACAGGTATGGCGCCAACRGGTAAGTRTCCACCATATCCAACTYCTCAACCTGTCTTCTYTCTCTCACTCTCTCGAGMWCCCTGTCTTGGTTCCCTTGTCTTACTCTGCATGYTCACTCCCTAYTGATGAGGATCTACTCTGAATGCTRCTCACTAATGTCTACTACTAACCCCTCTAYTTCTACTAACMATGCTGGCGCAGCTATGGCTGCTTCTGCCAGTCAGCGCCCAGCCTCTTCTTCTCCTGCTTGCGCAGCTTCCAGCCAGCGCATTCTCCCTGCATGCTAGCGCACAAGTGCTTCAGCACTTCCACGCATCTATGCCAGTGGAGATCTGTCGTGTGGGGAGGCTGGTCTGGTCTCTTATAATGCTGGCCTCCCTTCGCGAGGTCTGAATCAGTCTTCCTTGGGTCTTTCCCCAGTCCCAGACCACTGCAGAATGTGTCCCAGTACCCTCAGGGTCTGCTGCTGCTGCGGCCTTTAGGCCTGAATTTTGGACTTTGGGTCTGAATCTGGACTGCCTGTTGGACTTTGACTTGGACTGGGACTCTACCCCATTGACTTCCATTCGAACAGACACAACTTCTGCACGAACAGACACATCTACTGCACGAACAGACATGACGTACACAACCCCCTGGAAGAACAGACGTGACTCCCACAATTGAATGCTGCAACTGTTCATTCTGGGGCACGACTGTGACCTTTTACACGACTCCTCACTTCAGTTAGTGATGTGACTTTTGACCCAGAGCACATGTCTTTTGATCTGCTTTTCACGAGTTCGGTTCTGGCCGAGTGGGCCTCATTATGCTGCGCACGTCATTCAGGGTCTGAATGGGTAAAGGCCCTTTTAGTTGTCTATCATGGCGAAATATTTTGCTGGCTTTTGATGGGGTGTGAAGTTGTGAACCTGTGGTCGGTAGAAGTTTCCATCTGGTGTGGGTGAGTGATAGTCTGCTTTGATTTTCGTCACATGTACCTTGAGGGCAGTGGTTGGTGCCCACCTCAGGGTATCAGTTTTCGGGCAGTTGTTGATGCTTAACCACAACCGGAGTTAAGGTGGATTATCACTTACAGTGTAATCCGTTAGGGGACTCTGCAGATTGTAGAGGGTGCAGCCTCTTCCTGATGAGTCAGTCGGTGAAACTCCTACGAAACAGCTTGTCACAGCCCCTTGTTTGTTGTCCTCTTCTCCCTCTCTGCCTATGGTTTACCAGGCAGTTCTGTTTGACGATATATATATTATATAATATGATTAATATCTCAAGTCTGAAGATCTCCGAAAAGTGCTCAACATTTTGTCATTTTCCAAATCTGGAAGAATGATGTTGGAGTGGAACTTGGAGATTAGATTTTTACCTGCTGGCCGCTGCTGACCATAGTCCTTTTCTTTCCTCTATGATGTTCTTCATTTTGAATGTTTTGATCAACTGCTAACGCGTTGTTGTTTTTTTTTTGTTTTTTTTTTTTTGCTTGTGCAGATGTTGGCTGAGATTGATGGGCTGCAAGGTGGTGGTCAGGTATGTGCTCTGCTCCAGCAGCATCCCCCGGAGAACTCGCCTCTCCTCTCCTTTTTGTGACCCCCTCTCCTTCTCCCTTTTCCCTTGCTGTCCTCCTTTCAGACGTATTCGTGGTGCAGAACGAACTTAGTTGCATTGATAATTGTACCTTCGTCTTTTTTTTTTTTTGGTACGTTGTTTTGCCGGAACATAAACAGCGGAATGGGCATCGATAATGGCAGTGATATCTATTGTTTGTTTTATCTGTTACTGTATTGTATTGCCAGGACCTTTTCATAATCGGTGCGAGCAATCGCCCTGACTTAATCGACCCTGCATTAATGCGCCCAGGTCGATTCGATAAGCTTCTTTATGTCGGTGTCAGTGCTGACGTGATGCAACGTGTCAGGTAAAGCTGTTCTCTTTCTTTTCTCAAAAAATTGACAAATCAGTAAAATCACCTTTTTCTAAGTTTTTCAGGATTTTTGTCCCTTCTAAGTTCTTTCTAATTCCTTGTTCAGCAACATCTGGATGTAAAGCTGCCTGCTAACCACCTTTTTCATCCGGATACAACGTATTAAAAATGATCTCTGTAGAGTCTGTAGGGTGTGGTGCATCGACAACAGCACAACCAAGCTCACGTTGCTGAATCGACAGCTACACCCATATATATACTCTATAGTATATAGTATTATATTATTATAATAATTATTATTATATACTGTTGATAAACAGACCTGAGTTCGAACCGATTGGTCCAAATGTGTTGCTCCAGAAGTGAGCTACTCGAACTGTGTGTGCGCCCAGCCGTGGCGCAGCTATAAGTAGCGCTGGGCCGGCTGGGTGTGCCGCTGTGTGTCTCGGGTCCTAGGCGAAAACGTGGCCTGCCTGATTCCCTACCGGACGTCCAGGCCCTCCCTGCTGATGCAGCAGGGAGTGTCCGTATTCGGACAGAAACGGACCTGGCCCGAAAGGGCCTGCCGTCCAATGAACGAGGCCCAAGGTGGGGCCTTGAATGGACGAACTGTCAGTCCGAAACGACGTCTGAACAGACAAAAACAGGATAGCAAATAAATAACTAAATAAATAAATGCTGCCTGAATCGAAGGCCGCAGGTCTCCAGGGCGCGCGTCTGAAGTGCACGCGGCCTGGGGGCCCCTCAGCAACCGTCGGGCCCTTGAAATGGGGCCCGTGTGCAGGCTCAGTATGTAACACTGAAGCTCGCTAGTTAAAAGAAAAAAAGGGCTTAAAAATAAAAAAAAAAGGGAACCCAGCCCTGTGTCCAATACATGTACAAAAAATCGCCTGAGGATGGGCATCGGTTTGGCAACTTTGGCTCTTTCAGCGGCATTTTCACTTTTATTCTGCTTCGATTTGCTGTCATTTTTTTGGGCTCTTTCGTCGGCTTTTTCACGTTCATTCTTCTTCAATTGGCTCTTGTTACATCCATTCACTTCACATCTGTTCTTTTTCGAATCTGCATCTTGCCATTTTTTATTCCATCTGCGTTTTTTTTAATTCTTTGAATTACTTCTGTGATGACCCGTCCAAACATGGACTGAAACACAAGACTGATTTCTGAGTTTTGCCCATAGACTGAAAGCCTTGCTGAGTTTCCCGCCTGCTACTAAGTCTGTGTGTGCACGAATGCTGATTGGCTTGAGTGTGTGTGTGGCCGTGCCTGTCTGAGTGCTGGTTGGCTTGAGTGTGTGTGTGGCCCGCAAGGGCACATGCTCATTCATTGGGCCCTCAGGGCCAGTACTTACCTGTGGCCGTGACATTGAGGGATTGCAGCAGGAAAAACACTCAAGTAGCGGGTAGGCCGGTACCGCACCCTGAAGAGGAAGATGTGCGGGTACTGGAGGCCAAGCAGAAGAAGACAAAAGTGGCATTTTTAGAGGCCCGGTAGTTGTAGGTTAGGTCTAGGCGGATACCAGCCCAACCAGTCTGGGTCTAGGGCCTGTACGGGCAATATCAGAGTCTGCAATGATGTTTCCCTCCGAAAGGGAGGAGGTACCGGTTGCTTGGAAGGCCGGGCGGCCTGGAAGTCACCGCCCGAAGAGGCAAGCAGGCCGCTGTATCTCCCAGCCGGGCGAAGAGCCCGGCCTCATTCTCGGTGTGCAAGTTCGGCGACACACTGGTTGAAGCGCGGGTTGGAGCAGTGCTATCCAGGAGCAGCGCTGCTGGGGGAAGGAGAGGGACACGGAGGAGGAAGAAGGACAGGAAGGGGGAGGAGCACCAGGGGTACTTACCTGGCTATGGTGGCAGCCATCTTCATGACCTTGGTGGGCGCTGCAGCAGGGAGTCCCCAACTGGGGAGAGCTACACCAAGAAGCTTCGAGGCAGGGTCGGGCATGGCGGCTTGAGCTAGAGCAGCCATAGCTGCTTTGGGTTGTCCTTTGGGCATCTGGGCAAGGCCTAGTAGTCCGCCATAGCCTCGGCCTAGGATGATGAAGGGAGGAAGAGGCGGACATGGCTATGGTGGACCTCAAGTGATACCTGCAGTAGAAGAGGAACTCGGACATTGATTCTGGATCAGCCATTCAACATTGTATTATTATTTCTTGTATGAATAAGAGAAGGGGGAGATAAGGAGGAGGAGATTGTTGGGGGAAGAAGAAGAGCCTTGTCATCTGTCTATGCCGGTGTACATCATCTTCTTCTTCTTTCTTACTTCTTCTTCTTCTTCTAGTCCTCTCTCTCCTCTCAAGTTCATTCATTTCTTTCTGCAATTGGACGGCATTGTACTTTCTGATGGATATGTATCTCGAAATTGGTCAGGGTCATAACACTTCTACTTTTTTTAATTCCATCTTCTCTTTTTATTTAGCTGCGCATCGCTTGTCCCTCTTCACCTGCTTTTTTTTTTATTCTGCCTTTTTTCTTCAACGCCACAACTTTTCGGGTTTTTCGGAACCCTACAAGTTCCGGCGATTTGTAAAATTCCTGTAGTTGCCGCAAAAAAGGATGTCATAGCTCCCAATAACTGGCAATTGGTAAAACTACTAGAAAAACTTAGTAAAAAGTTTTTACTAAGTTTTTACTAAGTTTTTTCTAGTGGTTTTATCAATTGCCAGTTATTGGGAGCTATGACATCCTTTTTACTAAAAACTTAAAAAGTACTAAAATGTTAGGGGGAAAAAAAGTTACTAAAAACAATGGAGTATTTACTATTTACTATTTTTCCCTCGTTGATCGCTCCCAGGAGGTGTGGTTTTGACAGTGACTTGTGTCCTTTGCGTCGTGTCGTTTTGCGTTCTCTGAACAGAGTTCTCGAAGCGCTTACGCTCAAGTTCAAGCTGGATGCTAGTGTTGACTTGTCGGCAATTGCGCAGCGATGCCCGCCAAACTTCACAGGCGCCGATCTCTACGCTCTTTGTGCGGATGCATGGATGCAGGCAGTAAAGAGAAAGGTGAGAAGCTCGCACATGTGCACAGCACCAGCTTCCACTTCCTCCTTGTTCAAATAAATAATTTATTAATTTAATGAATAAATATTAAATATACCTCTAACCTTATGGCTGAGGCTCCTTACTTTTCTAGGGGGGGGGGGGGGGGGGGGGGGGGGAGAGCATCAATCCACCAGTTCCGTAGCCATGGCTTCAAGTTAAAATTTGCTGGGAATCAGAATGTTGATCGGTGTCCCCCTCTAGCACATCGGCACGGGTTTCTTAAAAATAAAAAATAAAAAGTAACACAAGGCATGCGCATAGAGGGAGACGATATCGATGGTAGAGTGGGGTATGCCTGGAGGGAGGGTGGGAATATTCCCCCAGACTCTGGGCCCCACTGCCCCCTCATGCGTGTATGGTGAATCATAATTGCCGCGTTTTCTGATGACTGTCAAAGAAACGACAAAGGAACGACAGTATAGATTAGCTTTTCACTTTGGGGGCTTCTGCCAGTCTTTTGCTGCCGCCTTCACCCGAATAGAACGTCTGGTCGTTGTACCTGTATTTGGCCCAATTTCGGTTTAGATACACCGAAAAAAAAAAGAGAAGACGGTAGTGGGGGTAGTGCATTGCTGCATAGCATTGTGCTGAATTGGGTGGGTGCATGATAGGGCGGGATGATCTGCCAGTGCAACATGAGCCAACTATGTCCTCAGGCAACCATTATATCTTTATCTGGCCCAATTTCGGTCTAGATACAGCGATAATGACTGTTTTTTCTTTGCTGAATGTGAAAGGTTGACTGCAAGATGAGCGATAGCGAGGAGCACGCGGACGAAAGCGGTGACAACGATGACGAAGATGACGTGGTTGTTAAAATGGTGGATTTCAAGAAGGTGAATTTCTGCACTTCTCCTCTGAGCCATCCATAGATTCCATACATCCCCTTTTTCCACTTTCTGGGAGTTGGGTGGACGGGCTTGGTAGCCTTGGTTGATGAAGGGGGGGGGGGGGGGGGGGGGGGGGGGGGGGGTACGGGGCAAGGTGGGGGTAAATAAGCCAAGACTCTAGAGACTGTGGCTTTTTTGACTCTGTGTAGAGCGTGTGCTACATACTTTTTTTTTCGGTTTGCTCGTTTTTTTTTTTTAATTTCAAGGGATAATTTGCAAAATACCCCCATAAGTTGAGAGATATATGCCAAAATGCCCCTAAAAGATGTGGGTAGAGCGGAATGCCCCTCTGACAAAATTGTTTTTTGTGAAATACCCCTGGCATCCGTTGGACCTCCATCTTTGCAAGATACCCCTACCGGGTACCGTCCAACTATGCAAAATGCCCCCAGTACTTGCCAACTTCTCCTAGGCGGCGCTATTGCAAAAGGCCAAGGCCCAAACGGGGAGGTCCAGATTGCAAAGTTGCATACCCGCCTGACAGGGCACAACACAAAGACTTTGGCCCAAAAAGGCATTCCGCTCTACCCACATCTTTCAGGGTCATTTTGGCATATATCTCAACTTATGGGAGTATTTTGCAAATTATCCCTTTTTTTCATGGCTACGATCCGGACGTCCGGACCACCGTCCAGACGGTCCGGATTCAGTCCGGACTCCAGACGTCCGGTCTGGAAGGTCCGGATCTGCCAAATTTCGAGGAAAAAAAAAAACAAAAAAAAAACGGTCCAGGACCCTTCCCCATTGAGGAGACAAGCCCCCAAAATTGTTTTGGGGGTTTTTCAGGCCCGTTTATGCTTTTTTGAGGGGTCCGGACATGCTCTCTCTATATAATAATTTATTAGACAACGCCAATTCTTTAATTATTAATAATTTATTACCTTTTATTAGTTTTTGAAGGTTTTTTTAACTTTTTTAAAGCTTTTTTTATCGTTTTCGACTTCTAACTCAAGTTTGGTTTGGAATTCTGACATGACTCCGAGGCAAAAGTGGTTTGCATTGCTATTCTGCATAACATACTTTTTTTTCAGATTTTTTTATTTTTATTTTTTTTTAACGGTCCGGACATTTTCCGGACCTGTCCAGGCATCCGGACCGTCCGGATCCCCCCATGTCCGGAGGTCCGGAAATGTCCGGAATTCCGGACGTCCGGAAACTACTGGACACGGGTCCGGTTCCATGTCCGGAAATGTCCGGGTCCGGGTCTGGCGTAGCCATGCTTTTTTTTTAACTGAAACTTCAAGCCCCTATCTTTGGATGGGGGGGCGGCACCTGCTGGGAACCAGGTGCAGTGTCCCTGAATAAGCCATGACATGGTATACCCAACTCCATGCTTCCCCACGTTACGGGCCCCGGGACACTGTCGGCATTGATTACTTCCCTCAGGAAAGATTCACCGACAGTCAAGCGCAATGTGTGCTACATACTGTTTTCTCCCAAAATAACATGTAGTAAAATGCAGAAGATTCTCCTATCAGCCTGTTTTCACCATGCCATAGCAGGGGAAGACCAATCCAACTTCAACAAAAAAAAAAGGTGTCACACACACACACACACAACCTTTACGGTTCGGGCTTCATGTCCCATTCTTGGGAGTTTCAGGCTTTCAGGACGGTTCCTAGTCCACCGGCAAGCCAAAACGGAACGAATACATCATCTAATACCTTTCTCGGCCTTTTGGCTAAGATCAAGTGCACTGTATTTGTTCTGATCAGTTTAATATCTGATCCGTGGTCCATCGGACCACACAAAAAAAAAAAAAAAAAAAARAAAAAAAAAAAAGACCAATCCAACTTGGATCAGAGAATGCTGATTTTCATCATTTTCTGCAAAACATATGGAGGTAGAAAAACGTTGGATGTATTGCTATCTTGACTCCAACAGGTGGAGCATCAGATCCAAGCTTCCATACTTCCACAGTCTGCTCAAGTGCACAAACCAAACCTTCTTTTTTTTTTTTTCCATTGAAACACCCAAGGTGGTGCTAGGGGTGCTAGTAAGAGCAGACACCGCTAGCACTCCCAGGGAGGCTCCATCTATTGGTGGGGAGAGCACAAACCAAACCTAGGGAAAGGAAACAGGGCTTTGAGAAGGAGGGCCCGCCTGGTAGCCCCCCCCCCTCGAATGGCGTCTTGAGCCCAGAGGGCGAAGCCTCCTCCCCCCCCCCTTTCTTCTTTTCTTCATTCTCCCCCCGTTTGTCTCATGTACTATGTTCATGCTTGCCGGGGATGAGCAACCAGACTGACGTCCCCCAGAATAGAAGGGGCCTGTGTATGTTTGAGAAGGGGAAAAAAAAAAAAAAGAAAAAAAAAAAGGGGGAAACAACCCAGATCGTACACTCGCTAAGGTCCTAAAGCAATCACTTAGTGGGAAACGAAGTGACCAAGCACTGCGATTACAACCAGGAAAAGTGACGAGACCAAAAAATGCAAAAAAAAATCAGTGTTGCAACCACGCAAACGCAAACGCAAACGCCGTTGAGGCATCTTCATTGTGTGCACGGCGACAGCACATTGAAGGCGTCTCTTCTCTTCTTAACTATCTAGCAGTCACAACCAACCAGGAGGTGGACTGGGAAGCAGCCATCCTTTGAATAAAGTGTGACAAGTCACTCAGTAGCGGTCTATCGATTCATCACACTCGAAATAGATAGTTGGGACTCAATCAACTTGCAATGACTCAGCTCAAATCGTGCATCAGTCGTGGGCAAAAGGGTCGTCATTTTGGTCTAAGGGCCGAGATAGGGGTCAACGGCCACGCCCAAGTCATGAAAACTCTCTGAACGAAGGCCTGCTACTGTGGGGTACCCGAAGCAAGGCCTAAAACTGGCCTTCAGAGGCCCAACGTGCGACAGCTGACCGTGGAAAGTCAAAGGTCAACAGCAGCTCGGAAATTCAGGCTCACGAGTCAAAGTCAACGTGGACCCAGTCCACGCCGCCGATCAAACACACACACTTGGCTGTTTGCAGGTATCTGTCGAGAATCAAGTCCAAGTGGGAATCTGCTACTGTAAGAGATCCAGGTCATTACCCGTGGGTCAATCTGGGGGCGGACGTATCCGAGAGACCAGAGATTGGTCAACCTCGAAGTCAACTATGAGTTGACCCAGCCCCTGCTGACCGACATTCACTCACTCTGGCACTTGCGCTTCTTGACGCTGGCTGGACGCTAGCTTGATGCTGGCTTGACGCTGGCATTACGTTGGAGCGATGACGTGAGACTGCTACTGCTTGGGTGCTGGCGCCTTCTCCAGGCCGCCGATCAAACACACACACTTGGCTGTTTGCAGGTATCCGCCAAGAATCCTGTCCAAGTGGGAATCTGCAACTGTAAGAGATCCAGGTCATTGCCCGTGGGTCAATCTGGGGGCGGTCGTATCCGAGAGACCAGAGATTGGTTGCTACTGCTTGGGTGCTGGCGCCTTCTCCAGGCCGCCGATCAAACACACACCTTTGGCTGTTTGCGGGTATCTGTCGAGAATCAAGTCCAAGTTGGCATCTGCAACTGTATGGGATCCAGGCCATTGGCTGCGGGTCAATTTGGGCCATCGTAGCTGAGAGACCAGAGGCTGGTCAACCGGAGTCAACACTATATGTTGACCCAGCCCCTGCTGACTGACATTCACTCTGGCACTTGCTTCTTGATGCTGACTGGACGCTAGCTTGATGCTGGCTTGACGCTGGCATTACGCTGGAGCGACGACGTGAGACTGCTACTGCTTGGGTGCTGGCGCCTTCTCTGTTTACGACGCCAGCTGGACACTTGGTTATGCTGACGTGGCTTTCGCCGCACTGTCTACGACAGTGATGAGATGTTGGCGAGGAGGAGGAGGATCAGGGCTGTGAGATTGGTTGATCGTAAGGAAAGCTTACCTGTCTGCGTTCGTGTCGACATTGCGCATTGCTGTTCATCTTCAGAGGAGTCTCCGCCGTGTGCGCCATGATGAGATCTGCTCATTGTCAGAGCGTGTCAGAGGAGACTGTTTGCTGATGTGGCGAGCCGGGGATGCCTGAAGGAGGAGTGGGCTAGTGAGGGAGTTTTATTTGTTGATTGATGGGTACTTTCCCTTCCACCCTCTTTAAGTCTCTTCTCCCTCCCACCTTCCTCTCCCCTGGTCACAAGACATTGGGCTACTTCATTACATGTACGATTTCAGAGACATTGACATTCTGTGTTCTGACATTTACGAGCTTTCCATCTGACTGGGTTCATTGCAAAGTAGTTCCAAAAAAAAAAAAAAAAAAAGGTGATTCACCGGAGCAAAAAAAATAACAAAAGTGGTTCACTGGAGGGACAAGGGATCAAAGTTATCATCAAACCCATATAAATTTATAAAATCACTACTGCTGCAAATTTGAGCGAGGCCTCTCCAGGCGCAAAGTGTAGCAATCACTCAAGTTTGCAACAGTAGTGATCTTATTTGGGTTTGATCCCTCGTCCCTCCATTGAACCACTTTTGTTGTTGTTTTTTGCTCCCGTTAAGCCCCCCCTTTTTTTTTTCCCAATGGCAAGGGGTCTTTTCTTTTTGAGTTTTATTTCGACTATTTCTACGTCGTTTAAATTGTACCGCTGCTCGGTCTTGTCAATCGCTCTCTCCGAGAAAATGCTGAAGTCTTATACTACCGTCAACGAACGACCTGCCTTCGCTGTGACAACCCAACCGGTGGAAGATGCGATTTCGCATCATGGTGAAGAGTCTGAAGACGGTGCGCGGTCTTCGTTTTTTTTTTGGTTTTTTTTTGTGGCGGTTGCTGTTTGCTCTTGTTGTTGTTTGCTGTCAGTAGCGACTCTGTGCGATCTTATGAGACAACATGGCCAGGGCAAGAATCCGCAAGGTGTCATTTCAGTTATGGGTCGGTAACAGCTGACTGAAATATGCAGAGCAAGAGTGGAATTGTTTTCGTAATTTGAGAATTCAACTTATTTTCGGTAATCCATCATTAGTGATTCATTACATAATAACACATCGGGCTTTTGCATGTGCACAACCCGTGGGAACAGCCGTTTGCCTAAGTTCGATTTATATCTTTTTAATTGCATGAAATGAAATGTGACTGGTGTTAACGTTGTGCGATGACTTTTTTGTAGCGTCTCTGCTCCTCCCTGCCCCCCTCCCCACCCCCGCTGCCGCTTTATTCCAAGAGGAGCTGGCAGAAGGCGCAAAATTAGGAAGGGGTAGGGACTACCAGCTGGGGCAGCGCGGTTTTTTAGAGCACAGCGGGGGGGGACCCGTGGAAAAGAAAAATGGAGATGAGAGGAGTCCACCAGCTTTTTCAAACCCTGATGAGTTTGTGTGAGTCTATTTTCCACTTAGCTGGGGTGGTGGGTTTTGCTTTGAGGGTCTCTTATGCTTTGCCCCCTTTGTTCTTTTTTTTTTTCTCTGATGGGAGTGATCTCATGTTGTCCTCTCTGCTGTGAATGGGAAGGTCACAGGTTGAAATCCTGCAGGATGCTGAATATATATACGGGTGCTTGTTTATTGTCAACAGGCCCAATCCGAGCTGACACCGTCGCTCTCAATGAAAGAGCTGGAGCGATACAACCATTTGCGGACGCAATTTGAGGGCCAGCAAAGCTCTCGTCGGGGCTGAATAATCTTACACACTGAAGCTGATTGCCCCAAAAAAAAAAGACATCTTGCAGGTTGCCCCCTCCGAGCCTTCATCCCTCACTCACCTCATCAATGCAGCAGCAGCCACTTGTTTTTTATGTTGATGGATTTGATACGGGACAGAGGAGGGCATACTTGCACTAACGCTTGCCGATATGTATATGACTGCAATTACCGCCAGTCCTGGATGAATCTGACTGCAATCATGTCCAGAGCTTAGTCGAAAAAGTCCTCGTGTGAGTATGGCCCGGGGCTGGACTGAGGCGTTGTTGGAATTATCGAGTATTGCTTAAAGAATTTTATTTGGACTGCAAAATTGCAAACACCCATACATATAATTTTTGTAATACTTGTAATTCAAAGAAAAAAAAAAAAAAACTTTTGATAGATATAACTTCATATAAGTTCATATAGCAAAATAATAACTGAAAATATAGAAATTGATAGAAAGGAAGGTTATGCACTTTACTATGATTTTAGTTAAGGAAGTGTTTGTTTTTTTTTGTTTTTTTTTTTTTGGTCCGTCGGGACATCCGTTAAAATTGGAACGATACAGAGAAAGAAGATTAGCATGGCCCGTGCGCAAGTAAGGATGACATGCATAAATCGAGAAATTCTCCAAATTGAAAAAAAAAAAAAAAAAGGAATGGGACGCAATAGAAACCT